CTTTTTTCAATCCTATTAAATTTATATTAGCGATATGACCAAAAGACAAGCCACTTGCATCAAGAATAACAACCAATCCTTCGCTGGTACCTTGTACCACATTTTGTATCTCACAAGTCATAAGTAGATATTTATTGCACTCGAAATAGTTGAATTTATTTGGATTTGGATCCAGAAATTTGGCAAGTGTCATAATGTATCCTTCTTTGGTTTTTTGCTCTAATGGCACAGCTGCTCTATTATCGAAAGAATGTTTTCTGATATGATTTTCTATATCCTGATATGATTTTTAACGATATTTGTTGATCTTAATAATTTTATAGGATAACTTACATGGTAGAAAAGGCTTTTCGCAATTCCTTCCATGCGATTGGATCTCTATTAGAGAACACTTCTGGCAAAAGCGTTCTTATGGTGAAAAAATTGTCTATCGTCTTCTTAGTCGCCTCTATACGATAATAATTGCTATGTAGAAACAAAACAAGATATAACATCTCTATTCGTGGCAGATGAGGTTGCTTTTCCATCCAATCCTTCAACATTTGCAAATCTGACATTTTGAGTTCCGGATTTCGTTTGCACTCTTCCTCTATACTGACATATTGAATTGGTAACATCGTTGCTTTGATCGACCTACAAATTTGTGCTCGTTTATAATTTTTTCTAAAAAAACTTGCGCAAAAAAAGAAAAATGTATAAAATCATGCAGAGAAACAAAATGAATATACATATCGAGCACAAACTTTTGATTAACTAAAAATATGATTGATACTAAATCGATTATACATAATTAAACCAGATAATGTTGTTTTGAACTGTATCAGGTATACTTGCTTGTATCTTTATTTATTGGAAAAATTGCTCTTGCGAGATAGAGCAACATGCTGATATAATATATTGTATTATATGTATAATTCAAATAATCGAAAGCTGCAGAATTATATCGTTATCATCATCGCAAGTATGAAGTAACATTTTTTTAATAATCAGGATAGGTCAAGCATATGGGTAAAAATTCTTTAAAATTTATATTTGTTTTTTCTGTATATCGTCATATGTAGACATGTAACTTTTACGTTTTTATTGCTTATATATTATTAATATAAG